TGGGGCATTTAAGATGGCATGCAGTTCACATTGGAGGAGCTGAAGTGGTTTACCATACTTATCTTCTAGAGCCTGCATAGCTGCTGTATACAGCCTTGGATCATATGAAGGATTTAGCCAGTTGGAGTGCGCTCCGCAGCTTCAGATGTCCAGGAAGCACTTGATATTTGTACTGCTCATTCAGGTGAACATGGCTGTTTAGAAGATTGTTGAGCGCTATCTTCAGTAAGGCAAAGTCGCTTTCTTTGCCACTTTCAAAGAAAGGAATCATAGGTTTGGGTATGCCATAGGAAGGGGAGAAGAGCCGAGAAACATCCACTGCCTGTGGTAATTGTGGAGTGGATTGAGGCAAGGCTGAATGGTAGAACGCTGTTTTGACAGGATATGCGAAGGCTGACTGAGTCGGCTGACATTGCACTGGATAAACTGAGTATGGAGCAGGGACTAGGTTGTAGTTCACCAGTGCTAAACCAGGAAGCAAAGATGAAGGAGGAGCTGATTGTAATGATGGATGAAGAGGTGAAGTTGTAAATTGTCCTGGAGGTGGATCCACATGAACTGGAGGTGGAGCTGCAGCATGCAGAGCTAGGACACTGAGAGGTGTAGCTAAACTCACTGCAGGAGGAGCTGGGGCCACAACGGGCTAAGCTCTGTGGAGAGTGGGAGGCGTAGCCACCATCACCGGTGGTAAAACTGCGGCTGTGGTAGGTATGGCTGTATGAAGCACTTGAGGCAGAGCGATACTTACTGAGGGTGGAGCTGCATCTGTAGGAGGCAGAGCAGGAGGTTGGTTGGCTGCAGGTGGAGCAATAACCATGGGAAGAGGAGCTGGAGTCGGCGGAGGCACAGGGTTACTTATCTTGTGCTGATCTGATGTATATAAACCAACAGATTCCAATGGAAAACATCTAAACAACATGGGCTTTCTAACAATAGTAACATGTTAAAATCTTAGACTGGATTTATATCACTTCCTTGTCCTTCCATTCAGTGGTGTAATGGATTAAGTCTTTAGCTCAATCCAAATAATGTAGCTTCTGTTCATAACTCATATCCCTTTGGGGTCAATTGGAGAACACCATCCAGGGTAGAGAAGTATGGGGAGACTATATTTTGATAAAATATTCTCCCCAAACAAAAGGAGCTCAGAACTGCTGCTTAATTCAGACAGCTTTCAGCCTCACAGACATCACTACATACACATAAATTCTGCATGTCAAATTAGTACGACAGGTTTCTGGAAAAGAACTACAAAAACCCATAATGTTACACAAATGTAGTGACCAGCTGTAGCTCTCCACAATAAAACCCAAAACGTGTGAAGGTGAGGACATTTGCATGTCTTACACTTAGTACATATGAAATAATGCATATTTTTTAAAACTCTGTGATGTGGGCTGTGCCTATATACATCCAGTTGCAAATGTTTGTGGGCAACCGAATAGCTCCTGGATTTGGTTAGGGACATCAGCAGGTTCATATGCTAAACGAATTGGTCCTTGCTCCCTTCCTAACTAACATAACTATTTTAGAAAGGACCCATCATAGCACATTTCTGGCATTGTTCAAGAGTCTTTATTTTAGGTATTGGAGTGAGAATTTGACTTAAAAGTTGGGGACTGTGCAATGGTTCCTGACTAAATGTAGAATGGCATTTGGTATGAAAACTTTATCAAGCTGCAGATATGATTTATATATTTTTTTTGTTAAACACCATTAGTTTTCATTTAAAAAAAACTATAATTACTGGAGCAAAGATGACTCTCTCCTGGTCCATGGACCCCCTAAGAGGTTTAGCCTCAGTGTAAGCGAATGTATTTTGGAATACGTTTGGTGCAGCCCTGATTTGGTTATCCAATCAGGGTTGCACTTTCTTGTTGCTTACCTCAATAGATGAAGAGTCAAACCTCCACAGGGGTTTCTCATAGAGACCGACCTGCTGCTCCAGATAGGAGGGGAGATTGCGTCCGAGTGTGGAATAACAGCTGATTTATGCACAACATACTCCTGAAATCAGGCAAAATTTAGCTCATATGTAATACAGTTACATTTATAAATTTGAAAATGTTAATTTTACCAATGATTTAATGAAATTTAATTTGCCAGTATTCAATGAGAATCGCCACTGACTTTTACCTGTTCATTTAGATTTTATGTTGACAAAATTATCTTCCTGTGCCCTAGAGGGGCATTTTCATCTTAATGTGTGCAGCCCAGCTTCAATACAATTATAGAATCCTGGATCAAAAAGAAAAAGTAGCCAACCTGTTTTAAAGTTTATTTTGTGACATGTAGCCTAATAATGTTACTATTGTAGAATCCTGATGTAGTTTGTTCTTCTGTGGCTGGGGAAGATTACGAAGATGTTCCCAATTTTTTTTAATCCTTATGATGGTGCCGGACATGCTAAATTGTCTGCTAGTGTATCACTAGCAGAAAATCTAAGCCTAACACAGGTCATCTATGAGACGGTAAAGTCATGGCTCCATTAGTTTTATGTGGTGCTAAATTAGGAACCAGCATCTCGCACAGCAGAGTATGTGTATTGCCTGAAAAGCGATAATACTCATGCAGGTAATTGCTGGGAAAAATTTAAACATGGGCATTCTACTGTGAAGGAAGACATGTGTTTGAAGCTACTTTATGGAAGATAAATTTGCTTCTTTATCAGACATTTCTATAATCCCTTCAACACACGCAAAGTCTACTAAAGGCCTTTCCACTGATCATAAAATAGCAGTCTTCAAACACACAAAACTTAAATAGAAAATTATAAAGCTAATAAAGGTATAGGCCATCTTAATTTTAAAATTATTAAAAACTTGACTAAATATGAATTTGTGGTTTTTCATAGGCTAAAAACAGATGAACATGGAGAAAAGAAAACAGAAACACTGACAAATGTCAATGATTTCACATAGGTGACTGAAGAGATACCAGAGAGCACCAGAATTAAGTGAGCCTGTTTTTTAGCCGGGTTTGGAGCAGGCTAGCTGCACACACGAAATCACCGTGGAAACTAATGTTTTACTGTTTTTGTGAAGCCGAGTAAAGGCTTAATTAAGGCAGGTTATGCAGAAAATCATGGCTTAATCCCTTATCTTGATTTTGTAAAATTGGCATCTGGTCCATCTAGTTTAGCTCATTTGAAGACATTGGTATCAATGCAGTGCATTAACTACTGCACCAAGTTGCCATTTGAAAATTAGCATAGATTGTATTATACATTTAATGACAAAAATAGGAGGCTTCTAAAAAAAATAACAAAAAACAAAGCAAACAGTTTAAATGCATTCAGAAATAGAATTTTATTGGCATGATGTGTTCCTAACTTGAAAAAAAAAAAAAAAAAAACAAAGCATACAGTTTAAATGCATTCAGAAATAGAATTTTATTGGCATGATGTGTTCCTAACTTGGTATTTTTAATTTCAGAAATGAAAAAAAAGGACTAGTTTCAGTCGTTCAGCCAACTTTTTAAAGGAAACCGATTATTGCCGATATCATATTCCTTGATTCCAGCAAAATGCTAATCCTCATGCTTGATCCACCGACTCCGGTCATGATATACAACAATATGAAAATGGGTTTATTACTATAATGATCCATTATTCTAAAGCTGTGAGGAATTCTTTTTTTAAAGGGGGTCAAGCTAACATCAACCAAAAAGTGAATTTACAACAAACACTGCATATGTCTTGAAGTTTCTGTGATTAGAGGCCCTCATAAAAATCAAGCTTATGTTCTACAACAGGTCATGTTACAAGAGTGTGATGACTGATCTAGATTGTGAACAATACCCCTATTCTGGGATATAAGAAACATGCAGTGCAAGGAAATCAATGTTATAAAACATTGCTTAGATCTTTGAAATACTGCAGAACCCATGTTCCCTTCCAGACAGATGAATAATAGCAGGGACAGCCTTTAATCTCTACTGCATTTCTTTATCTGAAGGAAAGTTCATTTGCAACTTCCGAAGTAAAACAGTAATGAGTAAAGAAAAAAAATGAATAAAAGCAAACAACAAAATATGCACATAAAGTACGTGTGTTGGAATACCTGTTTGGGGATCAGTTATCAGAAAAAAAAATAACTTGCACATCTGGAAAAACTCTAATAGTACAAGGCAGTAAAAGGTCTTAAAAATGGTTTTTCAAAAGATGCTAAAACCAGAGCCTGTCTCTTTGAATTCATGATGCATTAGGAGAAATCATTTCATTGCACCTTGACCAAATCTGTTGGTTTAGATATTGAGGCAGATTTTTTAAGCAGCTCTTTCAGTAAAATATGCTGCACAAACCCTCTGAGGCAAACTTTGAAAGTAAACAAATCGTCTGACCCTGAAGAAAGCCATTTTATGGCCATAGACAGAAAAAAAAAAAAATGTTGGGGCCAAAATGTACCTGATTCCTCCCCTTCCAAACAAAGGGTATTACATTGTTAAAAGCTTGTGAGACATGTATATAAAATTAAAGTGTATAATAGAATGCACATGTTTCGCCAAGAATAAACAATAGTAAACAATACACACAAAATCTATAAAAAAAGAAATGTGGCAAGCAATCACTTAATACACTCTTCAAAGCGCTGGAATGCATACAAAGTTCAAATCAGGTGTCCATAACAAATAAGTGCCTCTAATGAAAATGTAAAAACTGTCAAATCAAAAACAAAAAGAGTGTTGCACACTAAAACCAGAAAATTTCTGTGACCTGCAAATGCATAAGACATTAAAGAAAAAGCTTAAACATTAACATTTTCAATTCTTAAACATAACCTGCCTTCTTCAGTATCAACAAAATGTACATCAGGAGAGAGTCTGGTAAGTTTTCCCGACTCTCCAATTCACAGTTTGCAATTAGATGACAGCATTGCTGTTTACAGTTAGAATTGCACATATGGAGGAGCAGTATCAAGACTAAAGATGATTCACAGAACTCCAGGGGGCGCTATAATCTAGCAAAAGAAAAAAAAGAAATTGCACGTGATTCAATGGATAGAAGCTTTTCCTTTTTGTTTCTTTCTAAAATCCCAGAAGATACAGTAAAGATGGAGCCTTTTCTGATATGATCAGCTCAGAATGATCAACTCTCCACCCTCATAGGGTTGTCTACAAGAGCTAAACAGAGTTCCTAGGGACAGCCTGAAAGGTGGGAAGGGATTAAAAATATTTCCACTTAGATAGGTCCACTGATGTTACTGATGACGCCAAGTAGGTTTTTGCGCAAGTTTCCATCAACTGCAAACGAGGACTCTTCTGCTGTCCAGTCTCCACGCCACTGAGCACCAGCCTGAGAGCTCAGCAGAGAGGTTTAAGAGACAGTTGAATGAGCCCCTAACAGGGGCCATGTGCATTACCTACAGTTGTTTTGTGCTACTATAAGGGACTGGACAGTGGCTGTCAGCATCTTGGTGTGCAGTGCTGACGCAGATGTGTAAATCCTGAAAAGGCATTTCAGAATACATGGCCTTATTGAAGAGAAGGGCACCTGTTTTACTGTCCAGCACTTAAGGATCTCCAGAGGAGCAGACTAAATTGCTCGAGACAGTTGCGGTCTATTATGGTCGGTGAAACCTTGAAAAAGACAAAACAGAAAGAATTCGATTAAACTCGATGCAACTTCATGAACTGCAAATTCAAACTTCAATATTTTTCATCAGGGTTATATGTCATAGACAAACACAAAGTAGTGCAAGAGGTGTTGTGGGAATAAAATGTGATGATTTCCAACCTTTGTCTTATAGATTATAAGGTGAAAAGTAAACAAAACATACGGGAGAACACCTTATTCTGCAAATTTGCTGTCAACAAAATGTCTTCTGATTAATTGCACATGGGACTTTTGGCTTTCCTTGAACAATTACTTTCTTCTTAAAAAGGCCAGATTTTTTAATTGTACATTTAAAAACAACTCTATCAACATATTCTCCCATCTGATCTGTAAATCTCTAAAGTGGTAAATACACCGGACACGTAACAGCGTGTGAGCAAAGCAAAGTGGCATAAGAGCATATGTTTGAAAACTGAAATTTATGTTCAAAAGAAACAGGTTTGGCAATGGGGCTCTGAGCTTTTGTGACATGGGTAATTAAATTACTTAAATTAGTACTGTGTTAAAGTCATGAACTTATAATACATGATCACCTAAAAATCAGCATATAGACCAATCTGATGGGAAATATAATATATATTTAGATAGCATGTTAGAACTACCAATATCTGCTGGTTGGGCATTAATAACTGTAGGGATTGGGCATCATCTTGTTGAAAAAGCAACAAGTAGAAGATGCACCTTGTCCTGAAGTGAACTGTGAAACCGGATGTCGCATTTCTGTTTCTTCCTAACCCAAACTGGAGCGTTTACCCATCTGAAATTAGTAACTCCTCCCAAATTAAGAAAGGCTTTGCATATATATATATATATATATATATATATATATATATGGGCATTGAACGAGTATATAACACACCCAGTGTAAACAATTTTACTGTTTAAAAAGGAAAGCTGTGCCACTTTGCTTTGCTTATGCACAGTTACTCGTTTGGTGTATTTACTGCTTAACCCCCTTCAGAGTAGCATTAATCTCTTGGCTGCTTCTGATTAATTGCTCTCCTTGTTCAGGGACTAGCTTCAGTAGACTGTTTGTAGTTGTGCTCTCTTAGGTTTGTAGTTCTACTCCACCCGATGTCTAAACCTTAGGTGTTGTTATACAAGAGATGGACCGATCCAGTTTATTCTGATACAATACCTGACAATATCAGCTGATACTTATCTAATAAAACTGTTAAATCAACAGTATTATTATTATCAGTATTATTACCATGTGACTCAAAGTATTGGGCTTGATAAAAACACCGTGTTGTGTTTGCTCATCACGAGCTGCTGTGCATGCTCTGCATAATGACATAATGCATGTTGCAAACATAGACTTAAAGTTATTAGATCAATATTTGAATTGCTGTGTATGATATCGACCAAAAAGAAATAACTGGATTGGAAGGCTGGATCCAATTAAAACAACCAAACCAAATGAATGCTCCAAATGAACATTTATTTCGGACACTGGTTGAACTCTCCAGTGCAGCTTAACAGCTTTATGCATAGGGGTTGGAGATACTGAAATACTGCTGCATCCTCGGTGCACAAAGGAGCATTATTCCAAAGCTGCCCTCCAAACCGCTGACACAGTTATACATGGCTATAACAGTTACTGCTATCCTCCAGTAAATCCACCACTATACCTTTAATTGCAGATTCATTTAACCCTAGTACAGTACAGTATCTTTAAAATCTGTGTTGTTTCTTTGCTTAATATGATGCAAACTTCCCCTACCTGCTGCTGATATAGCTGAATAAAAACAACACATTTCTACTCTCCTTCATCTTAATGATTCTGTTTATTCTCTAATATTCTTTAACAAACCATCACAGAACAGCTGAACTAATCCCGATTACATTAATTACACACAGGTAAACTACTTAGCAACTGGATGGCCACTGAAGCAAACAGGTGCTAGAATATTCTTACTAGAACAAGAAAAAGGCTGAATAAAAATGTGCAACACTTTCTTTTCTTTGTACTGCTTTGTGTTGGTCGTTCCTTTTAAAAGACATTAAAGTTTTTAAAATGTGACAAATTGTACAAAAGTTCAAGCGTAATTAAACCTTTTTTCAAGTAACTTAAGTAAGAGATGTGAGCTACGACTAAGGCATGTGTCGTCGTTTTTACCATTTCTCCTGCTCCTTACCTGGTTAAATGACGACTTGATTCATGTACTTCCATCTCATTGCTCTTAAAATCGTTGAGTTCTTTCCTGATTGCTGCCTGCAGACAAGGAATAAAAACATTGAGAGAACCATCACTAGAGAAGAAAAAAAAGAAGAAAAACTCCAGCATTTTTGTCCACTTCATGCATTATTCAGTCTTCACTCAAGGCCATGAAGAATACTGCAGAGTTCTCTTTTAACATCACAAGACCTTCACATTTCCCTTCAATATGAAGCCCTAATTTTATAGGGAGCCTTCTTCTGGTCCAATGTTTGTGGTTTTTAGGCATCAAGTCTGCAAATTTACTCATAGAAAGAAACCTAGATCCCTTTCAGACACTGCAATAAGTACTTTATCCATAGTTTGAGTCCTGAACTAAATAAGACCCTTGGAAAATGTTAAAAGATCTTCAAGAATTTCAGAAAGTCCAGTTGCTTTTGATTGAGTTTTTTCACCAACCATGACCTTGATTAATAAAAATTTATGCCAGCACCAATTCTAAGTGTGATTACATTGTGCAGAGCACAACAATATGCAGCAAGGAAACCATTAATGAAAGAGGGAGACTTAAAGTAAATAATTTTTTTGCACTGGTAAGGTTAAATTTTTTTTTAGAAAGTCTGAAAAAAAAAAAAAAAAAACTCAAAGCGGCTATTTAAAAAAAAAAACAAAAAACAGGCAGGTCAGCAGTTTGTTTCAGTGGATGAAAACAAATATAGACTATATCTAGATTTTGACCTCATGATCTTAACTACCACCAACAGGCCCTGTATGTTTTTACAACAGACTGTTTTTCTTTTTTTCAGAATGTTTCTTTAAATCAATGCTTTTACTTAAAGTTGTACCTGCTCTTTAAGTACCTGCTCACTGTTTGCCACAAGTGTTAAACAGTGAGCTTTAATAACTGACTTTCTACTTTTTCTGGCCTCCTTACTTTGTTGGGCGGTTAAAGAAACTTGGGAACTGAGAAACCTTAATATTGATCAATTTTACATTAAAACAGTAATAAGTACAATTACATTTGATGATTGCAGTTTTTTTTTTATTATTTATTAGAATTGTTAAGGGTGTAAATAGCTGTATATTGTTGATATACATTTTTCAGCATGAGGTGATGCTACTACAAACAAATATTGCAAGGGTTTTGACAGATCTCAAGGATTGCCAATTAAAATGGAGAATGATTTGTATCCTGATTTTTATTTAGACGGTGGATCCATTGGAGCAAAGCATTAAACTGTGTTAATATAAAATGGAAATACTTAAATAACATGTGACTGTGCATCCATTTTCAGTATTATTGTTTTTTTCTGACTTTACTATCAGTTTCATAAAATAAAATTACTAGTTAGGAATTGTAGTTCTTAGACACAGCATGAAAGAAATCATTAAAAGCTTGGATTAGTTTGATGGTTTCAGTAGAGGACACCATTATCAATCATGTAATCTCCATCACCCCCACCCGATAACCCATCCTGTCGAGGAGTTTTGAGCCTAGCTCACACACAGTGCACCATATTACAGTATCACATGTCAATGTCTGGTGAATCACTGCCTTTAAGAAATAGATCTTCGACAGTGAAAATGTTCGGTACATGAATCAGTTCACCAGGGGGGCTTTACATCCAATTTCGAGATATTATGTGTGACGGCAATACAGCAAGGTGACGTTATTGCTTTCACTATTCAACATGACTCAAGGGGACATCTCTAGCCTTAGGAGGAAGTACTGAGGACAGCAGAACAAAATCAATTATTTACCCAATGAAAGAAAAAGGACAGGAAAACAACAGCAGAACGGTGCCATGGTTAGTGGTCCTGAGGCGGGGTTTATCCAATTAGTCTCTTATATAAGGGACTTAGTTGCGTAATAAAAACACCGATTCCCTCTGATGTTCACTAGAGTTCCTCAGGTGTGACCTTGGGTGCTCTAAAGGGAGGAAGGCAGATGATGTGCTCAGCACAAAACTGCCTCTCATTAAAAGTCAGCGGCGTAGATCAGTGTCAGCAGCCGGACCGCTTCAGGGTGTTTACTCACAAACAGTAACAAAACAGCTGAGGTGGAACATGACACTACAAGACAGGAGAAACATGAAATCCTACTGAGTCATGCTATGCAAAAACAATCTAGAAATAAAAATTTCTTAAATTTAGTGTATTTACCCTTAATTTGAGTAGGGAAATAAGATGTTTTACCAATGGAAGGAGTATATTTTCTCCTTAAATAAGATAATAAGATAACATGCATTAGAAATAAGACAATGCAATTATATTTTTCTTATTTTAAAAATAAATTGTCTTGTTCCATTGGTAGAGTGTCTCACTTACCTCCTTAATTCAAGAAAAAATGCACTGATTTTAAGACAAAATTATTTATTTAGAGTCCCATTGTTTGCAGTGTGTCTCCTCTTTGATAAAAGCTACTTTAAATGTGACAGAAATTGCATGGCTTTACTTACATTTAAACAGAAAAAGAGACATTTCGACACAAGAGACTATATCATTGTATTTAAAACAGTCAAATACTAGCCTTATCAGCTGCTGTGAGCCGGGTCCAGGGCTTGTCTGCTCGCCGGTCGTAGTCCTGTGCATCTGAAACCTCTACATAGTCACTGAATCTGATAAGAATTTTGGCTTGTCTCAGCTCCTCTACAGTGGGCCTCTGGCTCAGCTGGAACAGGAAAAGAAGAAAAGCTTATGAAACAGTAAAGAAAAAACAAGTAAATCCAATTAAAGCTGTTCGATTAGATAGACTTCCAAATTTGTATACAATCAAGCAGGCAAAAGGAAAGCTTTAACATTAGGTGTATTCAGTGCAAGTATGTTAGACAATGGCTGTGGATATAAAGGCATCGGAACGAGAGCTACACATTTCTGATACTGTGCACCATGTTTTAAAAATCTATTTTAGAAAAAAAAAAAAGAAAAATACTGGGGTAAAATAATGTTCAAGTAAAAGTAGAAATTACACATTTGAAAAAGAAAACCAAATTCTTCTCAACCAAATGAACAGAACAAAGTAATAGCTTAATTTGGAGTAATAATCTTTCAACTCTATAAACAACACCTTCCACCTGAGAAATATCAGCAATTTTTGGTTTGTTACGATAAATGACTGCAAATGTAAAACATTTCTTGATTATTTAATTCTCAGGCCAGCAAATAAAAAAAATTATTATACATAGAAAAAAAAATATAGAAATTCAGGCAAACTTAATATAAAACCCATCATTAAGAAAAGATCTATTCTAAGGGGATCTCAATGCAGAACAGGAAGCTGTAATTTTGTTTTTAGAAAATAAATGTCTCTCTAGTGGAATCCTCTTTAGGATTGGGTGTTAATTTGTTGAACAATGTGCTGGCCTGGTCGACGGTAAAAGCTGTAGGGAATTTTTTATCTCATGTTGGTCATGTTGGCATTTTTGCCTTTTCCAGGGGTCTCAAACTTTAATCCTTGATGGTTGGTGTCATGGAACCTAACTCGAGTATGAGCTCATTAGCAGAGGTTAAATGCTGCTAGTGAGGAAGTTTAGCCATTAGATTAATGTGTGTAGGACAAGTGACCTATTTCAAAGTCACATGATACCTGCCCCTGAAGATTTGAGTTGGACGCCCCTTCTCTATTCCATTGCCTTTAAAAATGTTTGCATCAATTCAGCCTCTATTGGTAAAAAAAATAAATAAATAAATGATGCAACCACTACTATGTTCCACTGCAGTCAGTGGTATCCTGCAAACACAGCCTTTTGCATGCCTGCCAGGTTAATTTTGGCCATGCTCAATGGGCACCGTACTCTTTTACCCTTACCTTTCACTTTCCCCTCATTTAAGTGCTCCAGAAGGAGCAGACTTTTTACATCATTTTTTTTTTTTGTCCTTCAAGCCTTGTTTGCAGATTTTTAATGTTTGGTTTCCTCTTAAAATTTTTATTTTCTGTTATACACAAAATAATTCTAAAACTAAAATGATGTGCAAATGAAATATCATATAGACTCAGTTCAAATATTTTCTTTTTACAGTGCACACATCTAATTAATAGAAAATCATGTTTGGAAACCAACACGCTTTGCTTCGTTTATAAAATGCTTATCAATTAATATATCTTTAATCTGTTTTGCCTTTAATCCACTCGCCTCAGTTTGAGAACAGATGTGAGATTTTGTTTTAATCACAAGCTGCATGTGAGCAGAAAGTGCTACACTTTTATTGACACTGAGGGGAACAACACCTCCCCATGAGATCAAATGATTTGGAAGAAAACATGCTGAAGGACCAAGGGCAAAAAGGACATTCATCTCCTGTTGAATAAACAATTACAAAAAAAAAAAAAAAACACCACACACATTTTAGGCCCTGTGAAAGACGAGATTCATTTATTTTTTTTTACTGTTCCAGTGTTTGTTTACCCTGGCCTTTCATTTGTCCCCCTCAGTGGTTTGAACAGCGCGAGTTTGCACCTTCAGAGCTATTTTGGACTCACCTTTCGTGTCAGCCTCCTTTTTATTTCCCTCTTTTCTTCCATTTCCTCCTGCTCATTGCGGGCTGCAGAAAACGAAAAGATGAGCTGGTTTACTTTGGGCGTAGTCGCATGCAAATCATCAACACTTTTTGGAATTATAATAAATCATTGAAGAGATACAAACATTATTTGCATAATGTAACTCATTAGATCCAAACTAAACTGGAGAAAGGACTTCAAAATGCTTTAAGCTGTTTCAATCATCATTTGCTGCAGTTCACTATGGCTATGGGGAAACAGCAATCAGGTTCTTTCCAAGTTCTCCCTAGGCGATTCAGGTGCCATGTTAAGAATCAAGTGATTCACCCATTAGCAGTGCTTTAAACTGTAGATAATTAACCAGATCTCTAGATTGTAAGATTCTAGATTGTAGAACTCTAGGTTCTGTTGAGAAAACTATAAGGAATCATCCTAGATTTCCACCGGTCAGACATCAGCAACAGCTCAACCTGTATGTACTGCTGCTTGCAGTTTTGTATTCTGGCCACATACAAAAAAGGAGAGAGAAAAAAAAAATCTTTCTTGGTGTTTGAAGGAGAGATGGATTTATCACTCATTTGTGCTTTTCTTCTGTGCTCTGCCTATCAGGCAGGAGCCTCTGGGAAAGCAGGAACTGCTGCTAAGCCAGTCTTTGATGTGAAAGCTGCAAAGACCCAGGCAACAGACCTGCTTCTCTCTGATAGTGTGCATGCCTAAACTAAGGCACAAGCCTCTGTAGACATGGTTTCTCAGGGAGCCCTGCTGCATGACTGCGTCACAGAAAACCACTGACCAAGGAGGGACCAAGTGGCAAATGTATGTCATGTAATAACTATGTCAAATTGATGCAATGACTGAAAAAACACAGAACCAACAGCTACAATAAATGTCAATGTCATGAAACGGTAACTTTTTGGAAACTATAACATTTTTGAGTGAAAATTGGAAAACACTTACGTTTGAGGATGTTCCTTTGTTCTAGCTCCTCTGCTGTGGGTCTCTGGCTCAAGCGCCTGATGAGAAACACATACTCTGTCAGAACATTAGCCTATGCAAAAGGTCCGGCAACCAACAGCTAAAAAGGCAAAAGGTTTTAGTCTCTTTGCAATTGCCATTTAATCATGACATTTAAATAATAAGCAGAGATTAATCAACGATTCAACTATAGAAAATATTATGAAAAGACAATTAGATGGCTTTGAAACACATGTGTTTAATATACAGGGTCTGTCACCCTGCATGAATGACCACAGTCATGCTCATCATCTGAAACTGGAGGAGTTTAAGTTGAAAATCTACAGAGAAAGTTAGCTCACCTAAACTTACAGCAGGTTCAAGGAAAATATCAACTACAAACCAAGAGGACAATGGGAACTCTGGAAGAGCTGCAGAAAGTAAGAGCTCAGGTGGGGGGATCTTTTAACAAGGTAACCGCTGTGACCATACACACATCTGGTCTTTAAGGGTGAGATGCTAGGAAGGTAGCATTGAAACATGCCATAAAAGTATTATGATTCTGACAGAGCAGGTCACCATTGCTGCAACAGCCTGGCATAGACAGACCATTTTAATAATGAAAGCTTGGTGGTAGCATGATGCTGTGGGGATGGATGTTTATTAAGGACAGATAAGCTGCTAAGAATTAATGTGAAAACTGAATGCATTTAACACTGGAGTTGAAGGTTAACCTTCCAACTGTACAATAAAAAGTCAACAGTAGAATCCAGCTGAGAATCTGTGAGAAGGACCAGGGCTCGTTGTTCAGAAGGTCTGCGTCTCATAAAACATGAGTAAAAGTGTTTGTACACACAGAGCAGATCTTCAAAGAGGGGACAAATTAATTTGTTTCGTTTTTTTTTTTCAATTCAGCAGACGCTGAGTGCAAAAGTAGCTTTGCTTGTTTGCCTTCATCAGTATGCAGATCATATTCTAACGACCAAACGGCACTAATTAATGAGAGGGGGATAGGAAAATGTAAGCATTTACTACATGCAAAGCAGTTATTAGAAATGGAAACTCAACTGCGGCCACAGTTTTTGCATCTTTAAGTCTTTCTGAAAGTAAGTTATTGTTTTCACAAAGGATGCATTGGTAGAATGACAGATCATACTTGGACGATTTGAAATAACAGAAGAATAATATTAATAAAGAACAAATACATCTATGCAGGGGGGTGGAAATTAATGCAGA